GACCGTGATGGCACATAACAAGTTGGTGGTGTTGGTGAAGGTGGTTTTACAACTAAATTAGAAGCGATTTCCACAACACATTGTGAAGGGCTTGACTTGACAGGATACGATGACACATTCGAAAGAGTTGACGATGGTGAAGGCGGTTTCACAACTACACTAGTAGAAGTACACAATGACTCAGTAGAGACATCGGCAACGATTTCATTTTCATGATTTTGTAGATTTGGTTCGATCGGTTCTGGGTCATTAGATGTTTGTGCTTGCTCCGATTTGATAAATTGTTTGTAGCATTTTCTATGGCAAATTTTAGTGCAGTCCTTACATTTGTACACCGACTTAAATAGTTTAATCTTTTTACAGTATATACAGCATACGAAACGATAAGGAAAAAAAGATTATTTTGATGAAATAATGGCTATTATCCATTTTCATATTATGTTTAAGTGCGAATTGTATGTACGATACGATACGATTACAGTAGTCAACTAATTGTTTGTATCCCAAATATTTATTCAACGTTTGAATTCCATGGGTTGTTAATAGTTTCATGGAAATAGTGTAATTATTATTATTTTTTAATTTCAGCGTGATAATATTTTTTTTTTGTTAAAATTATTATTTACATTAAATATCTTCGTTTTATTATAAGATTAAAGTAATGTTGAGCGATTTTATTAATAGTTTTAGATATTTTATACAGATAATTGTAAAATCACTCCGTTCAGAATCTAAAATATTTATTAAAACCTGATCGATATTTTAATAATAATCACTTGATTATTATTTTTTTTTTTTTTTAATCTATGTAAATTTTTTTTTTTTTTGTTGATTTAGTGTAATGTTTATTTTTAATTCCGAGTAAGAATACATAGAATTCACATGATACATGCAAATTTCCGTTGACTCAAGTATAAATAGGAGAAATTATGGTTCAAACATTTTTTTTTTTTAATATTAATTTTCTTATTTAGTTGTTTTAGTTCAAAGCGCAAAGAAAAAATATTAAGAAGTGTTTAAACAATAGAGATATGATATTAAGTGTAAATCCCTATTTGAAATAAATATTAATTTTATATCATCCCACTATCTCAATATAGCACACATATTAAAAATTTGATTAAAATTTATACATTTGTAAGTATTTAAGTTTTGAGTAAAGTGTAAATTAATTTATTTTTTGTGATCCATGATTTTATTTATAAGTATTATAAGTATTTTGAAATTTACATATTCTACACATTTAATTAACTAAATATTAAGCGTTGGTACTTATTAATACTATTAAGAAGTAATTTATCAATGCTCTCAACTTTTAAAGAAAAACAATTTATGATAACAAATAAAAATGTTGATGAAATATGCACTGCATTTATCAAAACGATACCAATTTTAAGCCACATCCTATATTCTTATCCAATTTTTATATTTATTCCCATTTTTAATATGAATGATTTAATACGTTAAATTGTATTGTTATTTTATAAATTAATAGTTCTAAAAAAAACTATGTCTAATATCATTAATATGTTATAAAAAATATAGGTTATGACGGTTTTTGATATTATCACTTTTTTTTCGTACTATGACTTTGCAATACTTCAAAATAACTATCAACTAGGCATCAAGTGTACTGAAAACTTTTGAACTAACTCCAAGCTTTATCAAAATGTTAATGACACATGAATAACGGATTTATAACACAGTGTCTTGGAAACGGAAGTGATTGTGGATAGATTGAGAAAACACTAAAGTGAGAGAAGGTGAAAAAAAAAGAGTGGAAATCGTTAGCATCCTATCCCATTGGATTCGCATGCCATATTCAAGTTGAAAAATGTTTAAATACAGAAATCGAGTTTTCCCCTATTTTAAGTATCTTACGTATTTTTAGTTTTTATCAATCAGTGCTTTGTAGGTATCAAAATAATTTCGACATAAATTTTCAAAGGTTATCATTTAAACGTTGTTACTCCGAATTACATGAAAATAACTCTTCACATTGTGATGTAGTTTTTCCGAATCTATAGTAATACTAAAATTTAAAAAGTTTTGCTGACAATAGCTATTTACCTAACTGAGTTATATGACACAGTTTTCTTAGTAAGTGTTTAAATTAAATTCTATTTGTATTTATTTTTTGTTATACATGTATGCAAATAATATATTAAACCTATACTTAAATTTAAATTTAACCTTTTTACTTCGATTTTTAAAGGAATCAAGTTTATTTTTAAAATACATAATATATTATTATTATTATTGTTTACAGCATTTAAGCTAAAAAAATAAAAAAATAATGTAAGTTAAATGTATTTATAAATTGAATGTGATAATAATGGGGGTAGAAAATAGCATTACTTTAAAATATTCCACAAAAAGGATCCATATCCGGAAAATCAATACATTTAAAATATTTATATATGAAAAATACTTAAAAATTATCTTGGACTATTTTATTGTATATTACTAATTATACAATAATGATACATTGTATCAGTCAATAAATTATGCGATTAGCTTTACATAGTATATATATATAATGCTAATTTATTGATTATTACGATACAATAATTCAATAAAATATATATAATTTATATAACTTAATACAAAGTATATTACTCGTAGTTAGTCAGTTAGTATATACAAGTAATAAGATATTATTTAATTTTTTTATGGTATTTATGAAGAGTATGAATATTATTAATTATTTATGTACTATCTGCATTTATTTATAATTAATACGTATATATCAATTATGTGGTTTATTTATGTTAATGTGTGTATTTGTTTTATTTTTTTTTTATGTTTATTGAATAGTTGTAAACAAAAGACATTTAATATTTTACCATGTCAAACATTTCGATTTGTTCGGTAGTTGAGTGAGTGGAGAAGCAAATCTATTTTAGTAAAGCGTTCTACATTGAGAACTTCTTGATAGGCTAATGCACGCAAAATCTAAAGCATCCAAGAAAAGATATAAAAAGATCATAAATAAACATACATATAAAGATAACAAGAGATGCGAGAGGTCATGTTGAGGGGTATCTAACGGATCGGCCGAGCGAATGTGTGCGCATGTGTTTTGTCAAAAGACCGTCACGAGGGACGAGACGTAAAAAAAAGAAACAGCACGGAATCACAATATAAAGTGTCGTTGTATCTTTGAAACTTTTTTCTTAAATCCGAAAAAAAAGAGAAATGCGACTTTGGTAGGAAAATATGTCAACGCTATTCGTCACCACCGTCTTCTCTATTATATAGCTCGTATTTCGCTTGATAGCTCTCTGCACGCCAGTTAATAAGATGAATTCCGTATAGGTACTTTTTCAACAAGCGTCCAATAAAAGTTCAATTTTTCACCGCCGCCACTGTGTTGGTTGTTCGGGAATTTAACGGGTGGATATATCGTCGATGTTATGACATATACTGGATAGAAAAGCGATGCAAGATAGAGAAATTGGATAACTATGCTATGTGATATCATAATATTGGATAATACGAATATATAATATAATACCGTTGTCTGCCACAGCTAATAAAACACAAGTCTAAATATACCTTTATTATATGTACAGTAAATATGCATATTTTATGAACACGAAGAGTAACATTGAATCGTTATCTGTAATTTAACCCATATTCAGTAATAGCTATACTACATTGTGCTGTAAAATACTTTTATAGTATTGTACAGGTGCTTATTATAATATTAACACAGAACGCTGGACATGCAGGACTGTTCTTCATTATAAATAATTTTGAAACATTTTTGTTAATGTTTTTCGGTGCGTAAAAAAAAAAATTGCTGTAAAAATATACATTATAATTATTACAAAACAATATGATTCGTATAATAATATTCAAGTTGTAAGTAGAAACTCCTTGAATATTTGGAAATATATATAGATCTTATGTATATGATGTTTTTAATTAAAACTTTTATGGTGGTAGAAAATATCGAATGTATCTACCAGTTTTTTTTAGTTTTATAGATGCACATTTATTCAGTTATGTAGCTAATCATGCAGCTACAAAACATAATAGAAACAAATTTTATTATTTTATGAATATAAAGTCTTAGGACAACAATACCTAAAATAAGTAATAAATATGTTTCTGAGAGTGGCGGAGTAAGTATCAAATGAAAAATAAAATTCAGTTGAAAAATATAAATTATTAACTATATGTATTGTTAAGTGAAATAAATATAACTATATGTACCATGGTCCATCGAACATTAAAATTTAAATTTAAATACATAAAAAAAATAGTGTTATTAAATGAAATATTAATGTATGTTCTACAAATGAAATTATTGAGGATAGAATTTATCGAGGTGGTTAACTAATAATATGTTGTTTTTGTAAAAATATGATTCATTTGTTTATTTTCCTTTTTTATCTGTTAGAATATTTTATTGAATAATAACTTAGTGTATTTGTGTCTCTTTAGTGTTAAAAATTGTATTGTTAACGTTGAATCATATATTATATTAAAATATTTAAGCCGTGTATTAAAAAATATTATGCTTTAAATAGTCAATACAATGTTTTTTAGAAAAATTATTTAACGTATAAATGAATAGTAAAAAATAATTAAATTTTATAAATAATTCTTAAAATTAAACAACATTTTTTTTAAGAACAATAAATTTGTGAAATAACTATTTATTAACAATTACAATTTTAAATAAATATATGCTATATATATGGAAATCCAAGTCTAAGTTTTACTTTAATTAAAATGAGTTTATTATTTATATAATATAATAATTCAATTATTTATAAAAGTAATAATACCTTAAAAACTACATTATTCTCCATAGTAAAAAAAAACCTAGTCTAAAAACTAATAAACTATTTCTTAAGGGGATTTAAATTTTGGCACACTTGATTTTTGATATTGCATAAGTAATTCTAGTAGTCATTTAAGTTAAAATATTGATATTTCTTACACTTTATAATCATATTTTAACAAAAACAATTAATTTTTTTTTTCAGAAAATACTACAAGTTATAGTGGTAACACAATTACAGATGCAGAAGAAGAGACGGAAAAAATTAGTCCATTTTGGTCGTTTAATGATTCCGTTGATTTGACAAAATATGAGCAATTTGATCATCAACGTTTTATTGGTAAGATAATTTTTTAACTCAATTTACTTTTTCCGACCAATATTTTATTTTCATATTGAAAATTTTCTTTTACTTAAAGTGAAATTTGGCAGTTATACACAAAATACACAAATATAAACTATTATTGCTCATTATTAAATATTTTATTTTTAAAATTAAAACCAAACTAAAATAAAAGTGATAAATATTTACAATTAGGAATAATGATAATGATTTTATCCATCATGATTTTTATGTTGACTGCATAATGCCTTTGTAGCATTTCACTAAAAAATACTCTTTCTATCTGAATTGTGTATCGGGGGCTTATACATAAAATTTGCATCATGGATTTCTTGTTGTATACATAAACATAGCGTTCCACTTCATTTCACTATCATCAGTGAAACAGTGAAACTAGGACGAATTCTTATAACGAGTGGTAAACTACCAAAACAACTATATTTTGTATGTTAAATATAATACAAAATTAAAATGGCACTATTGTATGATTCCCGCTGTAATTATAATTGCATTAATAATATTATGCCTCGTCATAAATTAAACAAACATTGTACTTCATTAAATTATAAATGTATTTAAGTTCGTATTAAAAACCGTGTAATTAAAAATACTGTATGAATACATCATTCTTGAGTGATCTCAAACTCTTTTCATATTTTATAGACATAAAACCTTTTGGTAGTTAGAATACGATTCAAATAACAGAAAACGATCCCAAGTACTAATTAATATTAATAAAATTCATATTTTTTCGTATTTCATAAAGGTATTGGATGTAGTATTTGTATTTGTAAATAATCTCATAAATATAAAAAATGAACAATTTTATTCCAAAAAAGAAATAACAAGTTTATTGGTTATCTCTGAGTTTTCAAAAATATTGATATATGGTTTTAATGTATTAAAAAAGTTTTGAATTTTCGTATTCAATATTGCTTATCACATTTAAATAACTTCCGTTAGCAGTTTAACGACACACAATTTAGTTGAACAGTTATGATTTTATGCTACAACCTAATAATAGGTAATAGGTAATAAAACACCAATACATTATCTCACATCCTCCGTGCGTTTAACACAGATAACGCTGGCTTATACACCCTGCTGATTATGATATAGTACTTGATTCAGTATTAATTAAATTTAATGAAACCAATTTATTTAACAAAATTGTAACATGTTATTCATGTATAAAATAGGCAACAAATTATTGTAAAAAAACATAAAACATAGAATCAATAAACTTATCTTAGAATAACGTTTTACTTTGCTGATCAGAGAGTAACGCTTGAAAATGCAATCACGATAACTTACCAGCTAGAAGGTAAAAAAATAAGAATGTGTTACTACTAGATCAAGTCAAAAGCTCTTATCTAGTATCTAATTTCATATATTTATCATAAAAATTACATAAACCTACTAAGAATAAAGAATACTTCACGTCATAATATTATTAAATAATAATAATAATGAAAAAAAATAAAATATAAATGTTAACAAAAAAATATAAAATTTCAACAAGCACACTTAAATGAACCTAAAAATAGTCCTAGGATCTAATTATCTTTTCATCTATTACAACGATTTCTACAAAAATGTTGTACTGATCTAGGAAATTGATGTAATGAGTATTAAAGTAACCCAAAGAAATAAACAATAATTAAAATTATTGAAATTATTTACCCACTCGTGACATATTATATCAAAAATTGTTACACTAGATTATTTAACTCACTTTTTAAGTCCTTACATTATATTGTTGTCTAACTTCAAATCTTGACTGTAATGAAGACGATATATTGAATGACAGCTGAAAAATACGACATTGCTTAACGCTTATGTCATAGCATGTGTAACCTAAACTCAGATGTTATTCAAGTAATTACTTAAGCTTAAACAAAGTAAAGCATAGATAAAAAAAGAATGAATAATTTAAGCTGAAACTTGTACTAAAATTATTTTTTAGTATACTAAATAGTTTTTTATAAACCGTTGATTAATTAAAAATACATAAAATAAAATAAAGATTGATAAATGCAAGTTAATTTTATAAAACTGATATATATATATATATATTTATATATATTAAATTTCACATATTATGTTTTGCTTTATATTACGAATATATTAATAGAAAAATACTAAGTTTATTAGTATTTTGTATCCTTGAAGTTATTTCAACATAGTTAGTACATTCAATTTCTGACGTACTGAATGCGCCTCATATATATTTAAAGATTTGAAGTAAATTTACTCTCTTATTGGGTTTAAAGTTTAATAGAAATAAAACACATCATCGTTAAACCTATAAGTTTTTCATTTCATATTGAATCAAATTTAATGAGAATGGAAAGTATATTTTTATGGCAGTGAACTTTTTGAAAACTAATTTTTGTTTTATTTAGAATAGTTAACTTAATTGTTATACTTCATATCACTTTAAAAATGTTTACATCAATTGAATTCTTACTTTTAACTTTGAGTGGAGTAATGCATATTATATTATTTTACAATGATATATGTTTTATTTTTATTTTTTGTATCATGATAAGTAGCCAAATAATTGGTTCAATTTTTAACTTTGAAGATGGTTTCAGATAAAAATTGAATCTAATTTATACTTGAAGAGATACAAATTGAATATAATGAGTAGTTTTCTAAATAATTAGTTAAAACAAATACAGAGAAAACTGGAATTTTTATATAAATTCTTTATTTAATAAATTTATTTTGTTTTTAAGATGTAACCCAATAATTATTAAATGTAGAAACTTGAAATTACCACAAAATAGTTTAATTATCTTTTTTATACATAATATAATTGTTTAAAAATAAGTAAAAATCTTTGAATGTTTGGTACAGGATCCTACATGCTAGGATATAAATGCTATTCATATATCTGTATTTAATTATTTAAAATGCATATGCACAATTATCTTTATATGCATTTTAAGTTTAAAGTTTGTAACAATTTGTCATTATCACGAAAATTACATGCTACACTAATATTTTTTACTCTTTTATAAAGAATTTATAAAATCTTTAATTATTGTAGTTGAGATTTAGAAATAAAATATAATAAGGTGTATTTATGCGCAACTAAGGCTCGGATTTATATGCAAATACATATTTTCCCTGTCACATGATAAATTTGTTTCAAGTTATATTCGATTAAATGAGCTATATTTGATTTTACATATATATTTTTTTTTTTTACATATTTAGTCCATTTTGACAATATAGACTATTATAGTATTAAACATATGATTATCAATTTATTTCTTTACAAAATTTTATCAACTTAATGTTTTTAGACTCTAGGTGGAAAGATAGTATTCGTATTACAATGATTTATGTTTGTTTTTTTTTCTAATTCATATTTTATTTTTGTGTTCATCATAACTCTATAGTTCAGTAAAAATAATATAATCTTCGTTTTAGAGATTTAAAAGTTAAATAATAATAAGTAATTTTCGAAATAATTAGAAAAAAATTGGTTTAATTTTCAATTGTACGATTATTTACTATAAAGATTTGGAATTTTCATTAAATATTAATAAAATTATGTATGATAACATCAATAATTGTTAATGAGTATTAAAATCTGAAAATGCATTAATACATTTCTCATAATTTTTTCTTATAATATATTAAACAATATCAAAGCTATATAAATTTGTTTTGTGTTGGTATAAGTGTGTGTATTTTTGGCACAAAAGTTTAAAAAATGAATACATGATCTCTCTTAAGATATTCTTATATCAATTCAAAAATATAAAAATATTTATTGTATTTTGGGATTAAATGTTGACAACATTAATATTATCAGATAATATTAATAAATAATAATTTAGTATATTATTATTTAAGTTATTTAAAGTCTCTGTGTAATAACATTTTATTCATGCAATTAATAATAAATTTGAATTTATCTTTTCAATGAAAAGTAACAGTAGACTCCTATTTTAAAAAATAATGTCATTTTTGGTTTTTTATTAGTGTATTTTATTATTTTTTTTAAGTTAAAAATGCCTGGTGTGGATTGAATTTGTCTTTTAAAATTGTATGAACAATGCTCATTGAATATATAATGTTTTTTTTTTTTTTTTTTAAACCATTGCAATTAAATTGTATGATTTATTTATTTTTAATATATAATTATTATTAATATAATGTTTTAAGTACATTTTTATAAAATTAAAGTTATTATTTTATTTTATAAATCTTTCAAAAGTTGTATTAATAATTAAACGAGCTTAAGAAAGTTATTAGAACCATTTTTCATTGATTTAATACCTTAGAATGGGGTTTGAACTTATTACATGACAGCATTCATACAAATTTACTCAATTTATTATAAGATAATTCAATAATTTTATTTTTAAGTTGAAAGTGATACTTGTTATTAATCATTGCATTAGAAAAATAATTTGAGTAAAGTAACTTACAACTCCAAATATCAGTATTTTTTTTTTTTTTTTTTATAATTTTTGTTATCATTCAGGCATTATTCTCATGTTAAACCAAATAAATACAATATTTTTCTGGACTATTTACCGAATCCTAAACATTTTTTAAGCTTTTTTATTACTCAAAAAAGTTCTTACAATAAGGCCGAAAAAAAAATATATATATATATATATTATAGTAAAACAATTTGCTGTAGTCTTTTTTTTTTCTGTTTGCCTTCTTTTAGGATATAATATGTATAACGTATATGATTGTACAATAATATATACCTACTGAATTTAATGTAGTTTAGAGTCTATTTATATACCTAAGAGACAAAAGAGAAGAGACTAAGTCCATTATTTTAACTTTTCAGGAGAATCAAAAACAATTGTCTCCTATTTTTATTTTTCTTAATTTCTTGTCGTAAATTCAAAGATTACGCCAACGAGGTTTGTTGTAAATGATAGACTTTAATATTTTCAACATCATAAATATTTTTTCTTTTAATTTTCACTTGTTTTAAAGCTATTTATTTTATGATTTAA